ACAAAGAATGATCGCGAACCTGAGAACAGCAACTTGGAAGAACAAAATCTCGCTGCATTGTCACTTCACATTCAACCGATCCACCCCAAAGAAGTTGAATTGATGGCTCAACAACTCGCACTGTCATCGTTCGTCCACCGCCTCCATCAACGCCATGAACGCATACTGTCTCATCCGGCAGCAGGTGGGGGCGATGACAGGAGACGCCTACGGGTCGCGACCCAAGTCGTGCGCCCAGTCGCGAGGCAAGGTGCCTGGGCAGCGCCTCTGTGCCTCAAATCCCAAGCATGAGGTGACCCGGAGGACTCATGGCGTGTTGCTGACTTGAGGGACAGGTCAAAATGGATGTGTTCTTCGTGGGGGGGCCTTCGTTGACACCAACATAAACCTAAATCCAATGCATGGAGATGCCGCTCTGCAGTCCTTTTTATGTCATGTCAATTTGTGTACCTACACTTGTGCTTCAAGTTTAAAAGAGTTTCAAGAACAAACTCTTTACTGGATAGATTAATCGCCCTATCTATATTTATTTTCTAAATGGTATATTCTTCTATGAAATTGATTATTATAAATATAATACTATATAAATATAGTAATTTTATAAAGTATATTTTCCTTTAAAATCAATTATATTATTTTCAAAGTTTTACCAAATCAATCTTGAGCATTACTTTTTGTCAAAAAAAAAAAAAGTAATATGTGTATCGACATCTTTCGCTTTCGAACTAAAGTCAGATATGAGACACGAGTATATTTTTTTTTTTTTCGTATTCTCGATACTCAACGAATCTCTTCTTTTGAATAGAATAGTACTAAAAAAATGAATCGAATCATTTTTGTTAGGTCAAACTAATGATCAAATCTGAAATTTAAAGTAACATAAGAAAAAAAAACTTACTTTTGCCCAGAAAACTGGTGCTTCAAATGTTTCTGAACTTGTTTTGAGGCAATAACTTGACTTGTCATTGAAATAGCAGCATGGTTCTCTTGGTGTATTGAGTCCATTCTTTGGCTGCAAGGAGATGATATCAAAAAGTATCCATTACCCCTTAAGGTGTTCCCTTCATATTCATAATCCCCTGATGATATGTCTCAGAGATGGACAATGGATTCTTCTGAGAGGATGAACCATAATATTCAGAGCATTTATTTTTCTGCAAAGATCAAGAACAACATGCACAATACAGCAGCTGTGACTGGAGAACAGAGGAAAAACTAATCTGATCATGTGCATTAGCAAGACTAATCTTTTGATGTGGACTGATATGGGCATGCAGGACCAGAGATGAGATGGGCATTTAGAGTCTGGAGAGGTTAGTGAAAGACCTCAACATGATGGGGATATGAACTTGCAGCTTTCATGCACACCCATCATCCTTAAATAGAAGAAGACAACCTACACACACACGCAAGCTTGGATGACTTCTTATGAGGTGGTGAGAGGCTCTCTCTATCATGATAGATTACCTTGAAAACTGAAAGGAGCTTTGCAAGCTAGTTTTCACTTATTCGACTACAGATTGCCATGAATTTAAGATCCAAATGCTTCGAGTTGTGGATGCTGTATTCTCGATCCTTTAACAACATCTTGATGATGTTTTAATGGTCAGTGAGATAGTTTTAGAAGAAGACGAAGACGAAGAAGAAGAAGAAGCAAGACATCTAAATTTATTGAGTCAACTAAAACAGCCTAAGTTTTCAGGTATGATTCTGTCTCTTGCATCAGAAGAAGACAACCTAAACATGACACCATTGGGAGAAACAACAAAGCTAGAAAGAAGAGGTTGTGAGTACACCCAAATGCATCAAATTATGAAGAGCCAAATAAATTGTGATTGAAGAACACACCCATATGCAAATTGCCATTGATGACTTGATGTCAGCAAACCCTGGTGGCATGCTCAATCCAAAGACACTTTCATCTTTGTCTGGGTGTGCTATGGACCTTTTATCCTATAGCCCACGGCCATGTCTCTCGGCATATAGAATCACATACTTCTAGTTTATCTATCAATTGCTCAAAGGATCTTATCAGTGTCGACATTTGGAATCCAGCATTTTTGTTTGAGTTATTAATGACAAAGATAATGCTTCATGTTGCCAAGATATTGGAAGAACAACTCTTCATTTAGGACTCTCCAATCCCATGCTGCGATCATTAACTACAGTAACTTAAGTCTAATCAAAAGAAAACAATACATCATATTAGAAGAGTAAGACTGCTTCTCCAATCTTATCCTTCCTCCCCATATGAAAGCTTGTCCAAGATGTCGAGGAGATTAGATGACACGTGTAGTCTAAGACTGTATACTGAGGAGATGATGAGACAAAGATGCAAAGAAGCAGGTTTGCAAAGATCACAGCAGGAAAAATAACTCATATAATACAAGGAAACACTAAAAAGAAGCAAAATTGTGTATAGAGTTGAAGACTTTCTATCTTTTCAACCGCTAGCAATCGAGAGAGAGAGAGAGAGAGAGAGAGAGGTTAATCTTTTTCCTCAACAGTGATAGGTAGTCCTTTCTATCTCTCCTCTGTCTCTGTCTCTTGTTTCTCTCTGCTCTCTGCCGGCAAAAGAACGAACAGAAGAGGAGGCATCAGCAGCGGCAGGCGCGTTGTTACTTGTAGACAGCCATGGCGCATGGCGACGGAGAGAAAAGGCAGTCTCACAATTCACTGTCATCGCCGACGAACGCCTCCGCCGCCGCTGGCTGCAGGGCTAGCACCTTCCTCCACGCCGCCCACCAAGAGCAAGTCGTCCTCGCCCATGACCTCCATGTCGTCCGCCAATATCATTCCCTCCTCTTCGTCCACGTCCACGTCCTCGTCCTTCCCCTCCATTGGCCGACGACGGAGGAGCTCGTCCTCCATGGAGTTCGTGAGCGGGGTGGTGGGGGAGAGTCCGGTGGCAGTAGACGACGACGGGGGACTGGAGGACGGGTTGCCCGGGGGCGGGTGGTCTCCTTCAGGGGAGGGTAACTTGTGGCGGGTGCTGCCGGCGAGGGAGTTGCGGTGCGTCGGCGCAGGGTGGTTGTGCTCGGCGGTGTAGGTGATGATGAAGATGGCCGGGTCCGCCCGGCTGCGCTCCACCTGCTTACGGGCAAGGCACCCCTTCGAGCTGCTACACCTGTAGTATCCCCTGTTTCCCAGCCAAATTTAGCTCCTTTCTCGCTTCTATGAGGCCACAGAGGGCGGAAGGAGGTAGATAAGCTTGGCTTACCGCGGATAAGGAGAGCCCTTGATGGGTTTCTGGCCGTACTTCCGCCACGCCCACACGTCGGAGGAGAGCCCAGCGGCCGGGACGTGGCACACCACCTTCTTCTGCTGGTTCTTCCTGGAATCGCCCAACCAAAGGGCCAATCTTTCAATCTGACCCACAAAAGATCGACAAGGATGATGACATATCTCCTTACTTTCGTTTGGAACGGGGGATTTGAGAGACAGGCCGGTGAGATTGCCTCGACGGAGGCGGTTGATGCGGCCCCGCCACAGCGACAGCAGCCCGCGGCAGCTGCTGCCGGACTTTGGGGAAGAAGGGCTTGCAGAGCTCCTCCAGCTCCCAGACACCATCCCGGCCACGGAACAGATCAGGAAACCCCAAAAAGGAGCCGCCTTTCCCTCCCTCGGCTTCCGCCTCAACCGGCGCCGTGTGCAGAGGAGACGAAGACAAAGGCTGTCTCGGCGCCGCCGCCATCCTGCAGCTCCTCACCACAGCGCCCAGGTCCCAGTCGTCATCGGCCATTCGCGTCCACGCCGACCACTGACCTCCGCAAACCGCCTACCTACCCCGACAGCAAAGCGAGACGGCGGCGTTGACCAAGGAGGCACAGAGAGGCTAGCCACGCTGACTTTTGGTTGAGGAAGAGGAGCCGAGAGTGCCGAGGAAACATGGGAACGTATATATATATATATATATATATATATATACACACACAGATATATATAAAGGGTCGAGATGTGGCAAAAGGAGAAGGTAGGCGTTTTGTTGGGAGACACATCTCCCTTCAGGTCTGCACAAAACCAGAGTGGTTTTGAGAAACCGGCTTCACTTTTCCTGCACTTGACCTTCGAGCACAAGTCAAACGGGTGAGGATAAAGCAGAAAGAGGTAGAGAGAGAGCGAGAGAAAAGAAGGCGGATGGAAGAGAATCCAAAGGCACTCAGTGAGTCAGGATGGTGACAAGAAGAAGAAGTCGTGAGTAACATAAATGCGATGACGCACAGAAGGGACGTTTTCTTTGAGGTAAACACGTTCAGCGCACGTGTTACCTTCCCGTGTTTTGGTGGCGTGCTAATTCCATATTATTTTTGTAATTTCAGACTCGGCTAGTCGTGATTGGAGGAGATATTGGGGCCCACGGTTAGCTCCAATTGCAAGCGTCCTCGCTGTCCCCTATACATCGATATTATTGTACTATTATACATATACATATGATTATTGGAAGAGAAAATTAATGATTTACAATTCCATTCTTGAGTTTCCCACATTTAAAGTAAATTCAAACAATTTAAAGGAACGTATTTAGATTTGGAAGTAAATACACAATAGATTTAAAAGTAATCCACATCTCACCAATCATAAAGAAGATATTGGTTTCTCTGATTAGGATAAAAAACCTGCAGCAAGGAAATTAAACTTCCAATAAAAGCCCAAAATGCTTCACTCTTCCATCAATTCACAACCACAACCGATCCTTTTCCTTCCCAATGCGAAGGTCAATACTCGTTCGTCCATCAAAAGTTCACACCACTTTCTGTGGGAGATGCGGCATTCCAATGACCAGAGAAAGAAGGATATGCCCTGCACACCAGCAATAGTATCTATCAATGAGAAAGCATCCAACAGTGTCTCCATAACTTTGATGAGCCTTTTGTGCTCACAAAATCAGTGGCAATGTAGAACCAGAGCCTCTCCGAATCTAATTATTATTTGTTGTCCATCAATTCCTGCCAATAGTTCTACCCAAAAGAGAATTCCAGCTGGTGTAATCAAATGATGCAAAAAAAAAAAAGAGTTGTTCCATTATTTTGCATTACAGGTAAGAGCATTTGAGTAGTGCAAACAACTGTTGCCAACATTTGGCTCCAATTATTACAACATAGAAGGAGGTTCTTCTGCAGAAATGGATTCTGGGATGGCACAGGACACACTTCAGTACGGGCTACTCAACTATCCTGTAGATGATTTTGGTGTTGATTCCATCAGGCACTGGTTCTAACATCAAACCTCCAGTGTGATCTTCCAGGGACTGTACATCGCAACGGATATTGCCAAGCTACAACACAGTAAACCAATGGAAACGATCGGTGCCAATCCAAAATTGACTGAGAATTGGCAACAACACAGTAAACTAATGGAAAAGGTGCCAATCCAAAATTGACTGAGAACAATCGATATCCACCGCATGTGTGCTCATGGTTAGCTCCCACCTGTTAGGACACATCCAGATATCTAGGAGTTGAGTTGGATCAGTAATCAATTCCAGCTGGCCCCTACTTCTGCAAGATCTATTGCTTAGCCTCCTGAATGAAGCCCTTTTCTGAGTATACTCATAAAGCATGAAACAAAAATGGATAATGATCACCATAGTTTGTTCGTGGTTTCTGCATCACGAAGAACTCAGCCTTGTGACGCCAGAGTAATCACCCACGTTTGCTATGAAAAGGGGATCCATGTCTTCGATCAGTTTGGACCTGTGACTTGCTTGCTCTAACTCCTTTGTCAAGTCTTCCATTGTTTTCTTCAAGTTTGCTTTGTTCATCTGGCCGTCGCCCATTGAGATGCCAACCATTGTGATCTTTGGAAGAAGGGGATTCAGCAATAATTCATTCATAGCACCACTTTCAGACCTAGGCACACGGTCAAGCTAATAATGAAATGCACAAACTAAGACAAAATTAAGAATCAAAAGCAAGAACAATGCAAAACCTGGCATTTGACTTCATCTGGTTGTCGAAATTTTGCTGTTTTTGTTGTTGTCTTGACCAGGGATTTTGAAACAAGTTTGAAAATGGAAATTGAAAACCAGTTTGACGTGATGACTGAGCCTGGCATCCTTGTAGGTTATCGTCTGAACCGCGCCTTGAAGCATCAAATTGCACATCAGGTTGCTCGCTATCAGAGCCTTCTGTATTAGGAGCTGTGGTGGCCAATAAAGAAGACCTCAGCGATGAAGTGGCACTCCTGAAAAGAGCACCAAGGAGATGATAATAACCACATACCATAATGAAGCCAAACCAAAAACTATATTAACATGCAGTCGGGACAGTGTCATGACCAGGATAAAATAAATGATAATAGATCAATAATCAAACAAGGCTTTCTTGCATGCAACATGATGGAATCAGATGGAGCATCTCAGAGTCATTGTAGAGGTATAGGATTTATATTTGACATGTAGCAGCAGGAAAGGCAACAAGAGAGGGTTTTTTTCATAGATCTAATACAAGACTTTACAATCCTAAAGTGCATCTTCTCCAAGCACCCTAGCAAATTACAAACAAGATCCTAAAATATCAATTGTTGTCATAATACCTAAGCAAGACATTGAATTAATCTAGCTCTGCAGCTCCAGCTAGATGTCCCTTTTAACCCTAAAAAGTCAATTGCCATCATGATACCTAAGCAAAGCATCTCCAGCAAGATTCCTCACTTAACTCTGTTGTATGTCAACGTAACTAAGACCATGATGACCAACAGGCTTCCATGCAATACCACTTGCAAAATCTTGATCCATGGTAGATCAACAAGGAATGAGAATTAGATTCAAAAGTAAATTATGAAAGAATGTTTAGTTGGTTATTGCTTCTTTACAATAGATTAGTCCAGTATAAATCATGAGTATATAATATATTCTAATAAAAATCACCAAATATCAACCCCTCGCTTTACCCTTACATTTCAGAAGCAAGCATTTATGACTGACCTCTTACATTCGAATAGGCTGTAAAGAGCGCTAGAACTTGGAACAATCTCTTGTCCTTCAAGAGACAAATATGTGAACCAATATGCTAGTTACCCAAGAACATGAGAAATATTTCAACTATAGCAATTGAGGAACGGCATCAGTTAATATGTAACCAACTAATTTGCAAGCTGAACTTATAGAGCCTATTAGAAAGCAACTTACATACCGTTCTTCAAATGAGTCAACCAGATAAGGGAACTTGGGTTGAATACCAGTGGCTCTTCTCAACCACTTGTTCCCGAGAAGTACTTTGTCAACAACATCAAGGAGCTGAATCTCTGCAGCCTTTGATATGACGCTAAGTGGTATTCCATATTGTCCCATTTCATCCATCATTTCTTGAACCTGTACTTCAGAAACAGCAAGGTTGATGTTGGTATGCTGTATGTTCAATTATATATTGCAAGCATAGTCAAAGAAGGATAAAGAATATTTCCAAGTAAAGATCAGATATGATGTGTCGAAGCAGAAGAACCTCTGGAGGCTCAAACAAGCTGTCACTGTATTCCTCAACTACATCTGCTGTTAAATTATCATCGATAACATCCCGCCGTCGTTGTATGTGTCGGTTTTGCATCAAGGTGTGAAAGTGTTGATCGATTGATGTATCGAGAATATTGTCCAGCAATCTTTTATCAAAAAAGTATGGTGTATACCTGAAAATTATGAGTATACAGAGGATCATTGGATGTCAGATTTGTCTCAGCACAGATATCAACATGAAGAAAAAGTAAAATGATTTCCCAATTAACGGAAACATTGAGAAGAAAAAAAATGTTGTACAAGGCACTTGGACCAGAACATAGTGACTCAAGGTGTTCACAGTGATTACAGATACCCACTGTCATGGTGGCCACCATGGATCCCAGGTAGCATTTGAAATAAATCAACATTCTCTTTTTTAATTGAAAAAATGAAGATTATACCGAAGCAGGCATACAATCTAATTACAAATTGACCGGCAAAAATAAGAGAAATAGAAGGTTCTGTTGAGATAAAACAATCATTATTGTTCCAAAATACCATGATGGTGATATTAGATGAACTGTATATACTTCTTAGTTCTTACCACTTTAGTCCATCACTTGTTGCTATAGCAATATTCAAATTCTGGGCTGTAAAGACAGGAACACCATCAACCCTTCTTTTCCCATGTTTCATAGGGATTTGCTTAAGAAGCTTATTGGCTGCCTTTACCTGTATAAACAGCAAATATGTCATTGAAATGTGTAATCATAATAGTAAAGAATATAAGAAGATATTTTCAGTTTACCTGTTTTTTATTTGGAACAAATTGGAACATATGGGGCTTTTCCTGCAAAAAAAAGAGTAGCAGAATTTTAAATGCAAATAAAAGCAAGGTTTTTCAAAATAACATCTCAGATGGTATAAGACAGAAAATAACTCCAGATATACCAAGAAATGAAGATATGCCCAAATAGCTGGAAATATAGGCACAGTGTGGTTGATACATACAACCAAATGCTAATTTACATTAAAGTTAGTTCGAAACTTAAAAGTAGTTATTTGTGATTGAACCTCTCAAAAAAATTTATATACCTTCTTACAAGTTAACATGAGACTAAAGAATCTCATAACTGAGTTGAGATTAAGATCTGTTGATGGATTGTCATCATTCTATCACCTCAAAATCAATCAACAGGGCTCCAATTGGACGGTAAACTCCATTGAATATGGTTTACATCTAAAAAACCCTAAAACTGAATATTCATGTTTTTTAAAATATTCTAGCATATGCATAGAGAGAAATAAAAAACAGGTAGTTTTAACTTTTAACAACACTAAAATATCTAATTTAATCAATGGAATCAGATTAAATAAGTTAAACTTTTATATGCATTGATCTAACAGTACTTAGATCATGATCAATTGTTTGTACCATTATTTTAAATAACCTAGATCATACAACCATGCATCAATACTTTCTTTAGATTGTTCATTTTTTGTTATTTTAATGGCCATAAAACATATAACAAAATATTTTAACATATGCATCAAATGGAACTTTTTCTAAATTTGACTAAAAATAAAATACCAAAATAAGTTAAGAATTCTATGATGGATTCATCATTCATCCAACAATATTTAAATCATGATAAATTGCTTGGATCTTCAGTTGAAATACTCTACATCATATTTTGATGCATCAATACTTCTTAGACTGTTCGATTTTTGTTAATTCAATAAACATCCAAAATATTTTTAAATCATAGAAATTTTGCTTTACAAATATTTTGTGTGTTATAGATCATGTTCAACATATGTAATCTTCAAGTTGGAGCATCCATGTCTGATTTTGAGATGTTAAGATGGAGGCCTCAACCCTCTCGATGGGATTTCAATTCAACTCCTCAAAAGTAGTTGCTGTGAAACTACATCAAACAAACCTAAATTTGGACAAAATACATGCATAGCAAAGGGTAAAAATTGGATCAGATAATATCTAATCATAACCAGATTCAAATCCAAATAAAGGCAGATTATTGTTCAGACATTCCATATTGGATTTGATTGAATTCATAGGTTTTTCCCAGGTACTCAGACAGACAGATTCAAATGATGGTTAAAATTCAAATCTGATTAAAAAAATCCAGATAAATTCAAATTTGGATATTAGTAAAAGAACATTGACTGCCAAAGAAAAACAAAAAGTGACCCATTATTTAATTTACACCAGTTTAGACTGCATACCATCATTGGCTAGCTAGAAAAAGACAGAAATCTATGAGGTGGAGTGAAAAACTTAAAAAACTGGAACCATAAGCCTTAGGCTGATTTTGGTGTTGATCTGAGCATTTAGGGCTCCATATTGACCTAGAAAAGATAATTCCAAAATATCAAACCTAAAATACTAAAATACAGTCCATTTTCCAAATTTATGCTTCTTTTTATTAGACTACAAGTTCAATTTTTTAATATCTGCTACAACTAAAAGGACTAGCTTGTCCTTAGCTATGTAATAGCACTTATAATAGTATCAATTTACCAACTCAGAACTATCACTAGAGCAATAACAATAATGCATGCAACGAATGGCATGCAAATATCACATGATCTTTTGCGATGAAATTATAAGTAGAAAAGTTCAAAAAAATAAAAGAACACGTCGCAGTTCAACTTAACCATACCTTGAAATGTTCATATGCTACATCAAGGCGGCAAGCACCCACCATACCAGTTGGAATATTAAGGCGTTTAACATATGAAACTGGAAGAAAAGAAGAACCAAGGTCAGATAATGCTTCCTTGAAATTAAACTAAAAAAAGTGTTTGTAGGAAATGGGGTCTGAAAGAAACTTGCCAAAAATTGTAAAATTTACCTGCATCACCTAAATCCATGAAAAATCGAAAAACAGGGCCTTTCTGTTCGTTGTTTGAAACTGTTGCAAGTATTTTCTTGATCCACACTGGTGTCCTATATGAAAAAGTATAGTCTTTAGACTCAATACGATGACTAGAAAACACATTCATACGATATGATATTTTTCCTTCATGTTACTCAGCAAAAGCGGTTGTTCTGCGGATGTCATCACAGGATATCAGCAAGGAAGTATGGATGATAGGAACAAAGATGCTAAATGCCAGAAAATGAAACCACAAAGATATGCAACTCTAGATAATCTTTACAGCACACATAAAAATTAAAATACCTAAGCCTATTACCACACCAACCTATGCCAAATGAAATAAACAATCTCCTTACCTAAGTGTGACTTTAACAAGTTGCTTAAGTAGCATGATCATATAACAGGATCTTCCAATTGGAATAAGAAGAGCAAAGAAAACCTATTCACACTACTACACTTGATCAAACATCAGAAAAAATTGTAGAGAACAACTTAGAAACAATTATATAATTTGTTAATTATACGAAAGCTAAAATTTTATCAGTCATTCAAAAGATGAATCTGAGTGTTGCGACACTACAAGAGGGCAACTTGTATAACCTCAATATACAAAAATCTATGCTACAGATCCTGAAACCCATGCTGTATAACAGCTCTATGAACACCCCATTATTGGAAACCTAATGGGGATCACACAGATTGCTAATGTTAAAGAATAGGAAACACAGACCATAATGAAATCTAGACTATCAGGATCTTGACAATATATTCGCAGTTCCTGGTCATCTGACGTCCTGTTATACGAGTCACACTGACACAAAATCATACTAATAAAACGAAATTAGATAGGTCTTGTTTCATCTCATCAATATCCCATGAGATTTGAACAAGTCTGAAATTGATAACCTTATCCAATTCATAGAAAAAGGAATGGTTCAACCTCTTTGAGAGGAAAGGGATGTCGAATCGGGTGGTGACAGTCATGAGCCCATTGCCGGAGGGATCAAGCATGCTGAAGACCTGCCCGACGAAAGCAGGGCCACCTCCGGCCTTGGAGCTCGAGACGAGCCCCTCTATCCTCACCCCCGAGGTAAAGCTCTTGATAGCCGACGACGGCGACGGCGACGCCGCGCCCTGGCTCATGCCAGGGTGAGAGGAGGAACCGGCGGAGGAGGAGAGGGATGAAGGGGGAAGGAGAAGGGGCAAGGTAACGGAGGCAGATCCGCCCGGTGGAGTGGCCATGGGAGATTTGGTAGTGGGGGTGGTGCGGCTAGGGTTGAAGGGAGAGAAGGGGAGGTGGGAGAGGATGTTGGTGGTGAGAGACTGCATGGAGCGGCCGGCGGAGCACAAGAAGGGGAGTCCGTCGCCGCGGCGTGGTCTCTCCGAGGCGGAGGATGGGGCCATCACTGCCGTCAACAGCGGCGAGAGAGGCGGCGATGAGCTCGTGCCGTCGTCGCGTGGCACAGCGGGGGGAGGGGAGGGAAGGGGCGGTGCGTGGATGAGATTCTTTGACGCGACCTCAAGTCCTACTCTACTCGGATTAATTGGGCTATGGTCTTTGTAATAGTGGGCGTTATGGGCGGTTTGATGTCCTCTTTTAGAGTCCACATTGATGAATACATTGTGAGCCTTATGGGCCGTATGATGAGCTCCTTTGGAAGTACATGGAGTCCGCACGTTGTTTGAACGGCTACGATGTGGCGCTTGATGCGTTGAGATCCGTGAGTCGAGGTCACCATTCCCTGGTTCTATGTGATTCCTAAACCCTCCTCGTCACCGCTCGAGTTGGTGTCCCTCCCATGGACGCGGACGCGGACGCGGACGCGGACGCATCCCCATCGCGGCCCTAAGGAGGAGGAAAGGATACCTCCTCGGTTCTTCCTACGCATGGCGGTCGCCTTCGTCCGAACCATCTCGAGAAGAAGCCGCAGATCTATTCTTTCTCTCAGTTTCCACCTCTCGAATCCTCGACCTTTTCCCCCCGCTTCTCCCATCGCGCTGACCCCGAAGAACTATTCAGGACCTGCCTTTGCCCCCTTCTGCGGATTCCTCCAACCTCCGGCGCCGTGTCTTCGCTGCCCGCACCGTGGTCTATGTGGAATACCGCGCTCTAACGATGACCTCAAAGTCGCTCCCTTGGCGCCCCCGGGTGACCCGCCGAAGAAAAAGGGCAAGAGCGCGAAGAAGAAATCCCGGGTGGATTTCACCAAGGTCGATCCGACGCTGCTCCCAACTGTGATCCTCGTCGGCCGGCCCAACGTCGGCAAGTCCGCCCTCTTCAACCGGTGAGCGGGATCTTTGTCATGGATTCGGGTTCATATGGTGACCTGGGGTTTTTTGAATTGGTTTTGCTCTGCTTCGTCGCTCTTGTAGCTTGATTCGGAGGAGGGAGGCCCTTGTTTACAACACTCCCGATGATCATGTCACCCGAGACATAAGAGAGGGCATAGCCAAGTTGGGGGATTTGAGATTCCGTGTGTTGGATTCGGCTGGGTTGGAGACGGCAGCGACTTCAGGTAGTATTCTTCATAGGACGACTGAGATGACTGGGAACGTACTCGCGAGGACAAAATTCGCAATCTTTTTGATAGATGTGAGGTTAGTGTCTTGAATTTGTTTTGATTCCTCAGTTCTGTCTATCTCCAGTAGCTCTTAGCGGACGAATTTACTTAGTGGAACTGTTGCTTTTCAGGGATGGATTGCAGCCGCTTGATATGGAAGTAGGAAAGTGGTTGCGGAAGCATGGGCATGGTATTCATACCATTGTGGCCATGAATAAATCCGAGTCACTTGATGAACAAGGATTGCTTACTGCAGAGGCCGGTCAAGCATACACTTTAGGCTTCGGTGATCCAATTGCCATATCTGCGGAGACAGGTTTCGGGATGGCTGAGCTATATGAAACTCTCTGTCCATTGTTGGAGGATTATATGCTTCAACTTCCCAGCGGTGTGTTGATTCTGATTTAGCTTTTGGTGTCAACAAATATATTTTGTTTCCTTGGTGCATGTACAAATGCTCAAATTGCCCATTAGTGTTCTTTGTTAGTTTGCAAGCTTAAGCTTTACATGATTATTCCTCGGATCTGCCAGTAGTTATAAAAGAATACAAAAAACAAGGACACATCATCTGTACTTTATTCACATTCCTTTAGTAATATGAATTTATTCATCTCTAGCTAATTGTGCTAATATGTGATAATATTATGTTGAACTATGATAATTTAGATGTTTAAACGTTATCATGCCATTATATTTAGGTTGGTTGCAAAATTTGAATTGCTAATATTTAGTAGTCATAGCTTTGGATGAAAAACTATCGGTGACAAATATAACTTGTTTGAAATCTTTCAAAGATCCTCCATGGATTGTGTTTTGTGGGAAATGGAGAAAATTTGTTGTTTATTAGTGCAGCTTGACAATTCTTTCACATATCACCTAGCAGATTCCAGATTAGCAGTAGGATAATCATATGAAGTTGCAATAGGACAAAAAAGGCAACTTTTTTGCATGTCTTTCACCAGCACCTTGGAATCAGATACAGCTAACGTGTTTTACATAATTGAGACCTTTAAAGGTTGTCTATGCTCTATGTTGCTTTTTCAATTAATGGATAATAACAAGCAAATAAAGTTGAGACTTTGAAGTTCATCTATACTCTATTTTGTTTACCTAATTGATGGTCATTATCAAGTGAATCTGTGCATGACAAGACTGCATGAGATATATCAGACATTTTGCAGATGGATCTATAAATTTGGCAAGTCATAGCCTCATAAGTTACTGTTTTATGCTATACTCTCTTAGAAAATTTCAGTTAAGGCAAACTTTAAAAAGGAGTAACTGTTGCTTTGTGGTAGCATGAGCTTAAAATGTGACTAACAAGCATTTGTGCTTGTAGGCTAGCAGTTTAGGAATTTATTCAAATCCATCTCTTTTCTAAAGTTGCCATGGTTTGGCATTTGCCAACTACTTCAGAGGATTGACAACAGTTTGTGCACAATTATATAGTTATAGTTTTTTTCCCTACTTTCTTTAAAGTCTTCTTTTCTTGAGTTGTGCATCAGCTAAAAACCTTGTAAAAATAAATGCTTGGCTGGTGTTATGAGCTCTAACATCCAAAATTTTCAGCAGCAACAGTTTAAATTGAGAAAAAATTAGTGATATATGTTGAATTCTCTTGTCGAAGATAAATTGAGAAGGTGTGAAGCTAGGTGATTCATATGCATCAGCTAACATTTCCCTTATTTATGGTCCTTTATGTTCCCATTGTTTAATTATGTTTCTGTATTTTTAATAATTTATGTCGTCAATAATTCATGAAGAAAAGATGCAATTTTCTATTTGAATTTATATACTAAGGTGCCACTTCAGGTGCATAAATTTGAACTCATACCTTTCACTGAGATTCATGTTGTTTGGAGTAAACCCAGATTCTATATATTTGTCTCCTTTTTGATGCAGTTAACATTCGTCTATTTAGTTTGACTTTTCAGGGCTCTTATGATGGGCATGTTGTGTTTACCTTTTGTTAATCCAGGCTTGTTTTGTATAAGAATTATTGGTTGTATTGTTTAGGCAAAACCTGCAGTAATTTTGGTTTTAGTTTACTATTTGGATGTGATTAATGCTTTGATTCAAATCCTCTTTTTGATGGCTTGGGTTTCCACAATTGTCAGCTCCACTAATAAGTTGTGGCTTCAGATAATCATGCCCGAGATGTTATTTCATCAGACGCAGAGGAGAACGGGGACTGCAAGTCACCTTTGCAACTTGCAATTGTTGGACGGCCCAATGTTGGAAAGTCTACCCTGCTAAATGCATTGTTACAAGAAGAGAGAGTTTTGGTTGGACCAGAGGCTGGTTTGACAAGGGATTCAATCAGAGCTCATTTCAGATTTGAAGAGCGAACTGTATTTTTGGTAAATTAACAGGTTTCCTATTTACTTCTGCAGCATCTTCGTTCTAACAGTTTATTTCCTGTTGTAGTTCGCTTTTTGACCATTTCTCGCGACAAGTCATTTTGTGATTTGTTTGTTTAGTTGAAAATCCAAAATTGGATATTTGATTCTAATTATAATAAGTGGTTATCAACATAATTGTTGCCTAACTTTGCTTTGATAATACAATATCCTATGAATGCCATTTCATTGATTATGGAAAGTTTTATAGGGCATGCACAATGTCATCTGTGCTTTAAGGGTTGCATGTTAGAAAACAATAAATCGAGTAGTTGCATAACTGAGTTGAGAAATGTCTATGTTTTGAGACAAATGCCTATGCCACTATAAAAGATGGAAAATGCAAATAATTCTATGTTTGATGACTTTGATATAGTGCAAATCAAAGATAAAACAAGTGAAAAGTCATTTAAGGTCGTTTGAGAGTGTCCAAAAAGGACCTTTAAATGCACCCGCAATATGAGGTGGATGCATATAGATTATGTGTCGGAGGAGGTAGAAGAAGACATGAAACACTGGCTAAATAGAACAAACAATAAAATGGGACATCCTATCACATGGATTATCCAATGAAATGACATTAACTAGAGCTGAATGGCATGAAAGAATCCATATTGTCATCCACAAATTATTGTGAATATGGCATCATTGTTGATGATGGTGTTTCTCCATTTTGATTCTTAACCACAGATAAGAAAGACAGTTATAGGTATATTCGTAAGGTATTGTACACCCCCTGCTTGTTTTGGAACTGCAATATTGCATTTATATTATTATGGCCATGTGCGTCTTATTACCATTCATCATTATTGATTCATATCATCATTCGGGATTAATCCATGTATGTGGCACATGCTTTATAGGCTACATAACCATTATGGTTTGTTTTTCAGGTTGACACTGCTGGTTGGTTACAGAGATCAGGGAAAGAAAAGGGACCTGCCTCCTTGAGTGTTATGCAAACAAGAAAAAATCTTATGAGGGCTCATGTAATAGCTGTAGTACTAGATGCAGAGGAGGTATGCCACATTTAAGGTTTACAACTTCAGATGCCTAGAGATCTATAATTTACTAATGTGCTGGAGTTGTACAGTGAGTGAGTCTTCTACCTGTAACTTCTAGATCGTTATCTGTATCAGTTGAAAGTTATTTTCTGTAATATCCTGATAATGCAATATAAAAAAAATTATTATTGAAGAAAAAACCTGAAGTTTAATTTTTTCGTTGTGCGGATAAGCTAGTGTTTCATTTATCTGGGTGGAAAAATGTCTGTAGTCATGCTGATATTTTGAAATTTTAGTTCTTCATTGGAAGATAAAAGCTGCCATCTCTCTGAATTAGATAATGTCTGTAATGGCAATACCAAGGAACATTCATTTTGGACCAACTCTGCTCAGCTGTAGTCATATATATGGAAAAGAGGTAAAGAAAATATGCCAAAATAAGACTTGTTAGCAGATGCTGGAGTCATATGTAGTAGGTAAGTTGAGAATTTGTGACCAAGAAACCCAATTGCAATTCCTGTAGGTTTGAAAATGTGTGGTCTCAAAAAAAGAAAAATTAAAGTAGTCCATGACTTTTTTAGATACCTAATATATTTGCTTCAGGTTCATAATCTAAACTCATCTGGTAATTTCTGTAAATAGTTTATCTGGTAACTTGTTTTTTACTTTTTTATCTGTTAATATGCAGATTGCAAAAGCTAAGACCAGCATGAAACATTCTGAAGTTGTTATTGCTCGCCAAGCAGTAGAAGAAGGCCGTGCTCTGGTTGTGATTGTTAACAAGATGGACTTGCTTAGGGGGAAACACAACTCAATATTGCGTGAGAAAGTCATAAAGGCTGTTCCACAAGAAATCCAGACAGTCCTACCACAGGTTTGCCTATCATATGTTTCAATTATGTATGGAGGTGACTATAAGAGATGGCAGTTTATTTGCCTCAGTTCTGATTCTTGCAGTTGGAACAGTGCAGCTAGCTTACTTCTAGCTTTATTTATCTTAAACCATATGTATCTCAACTTTTTACCTTAACCTGGTTCCTAATGCCTTCGGCTTTTTTGTTTGTATACCTATTTCTGTTATGTTAAGAAACACCGTAAAGAAAAAGAATGCTTAGGCAACCTATGTAACCCGTAATTCTTCTTTGTTATGTCACAGGTTACGGGAATACCAGTGGTATTTGTTTCAGCACTGGAGGGAAGGGGAAGGGTGGCTATCATGCGTCAGGTAGTGGACACATATCAAAAGTGGTGTTTAAGATTACCCACAGCACGCCTTAATCGCTGGTTGCGTAAGGTAAACAGTGTCACCTCCTGTATGATATAGTTGTAGAACTAAGATCTCCATCGTCTGGTTTTTGAAATACTCTTGGTTGGTATTTCACTATTATAACTGTAACCGTATTCAGTAATCACCTTGAAATTTGTTCTGCAAGTCTCCATGTTAATCCCCAAGCACATTTATTTTCCGATCATGCACATTAAAAAATTATTTACTGGAAATTAAGAAGGAAAGATGTTAATTTCTAGTTTTATTTTTGTGTTTCTGGTCTAAGATGTGTTATTTACATGTATAGGTGATGAGTCGGCACTCCTGGAAAGATCAAGCAACCCAACCTAAGATCAAGTACTTCACTCAGGTCAAGGCTCGCCCACCAACATTTGTTGCATTTTTGAGTGGGAAAACACACCTCGCAGACACAGATATTAGATTTTTGACCAAGTCTCTGAAGGAGGATTTTGATCTTGGTGGGATCCCAATACGCATCACACAACATTCCGTCCCCAGAAAAGCAGAACTCAGCAAGAAGAGCAAGAAGCCATCCACAAGGATGAATGCGAGAATTTTATCAGAAAAAAGAGTTGCTTCGACAGAACTTGTTTCTTCTTGATGGGCTTTCTTCAAAGTCAACCAAATGGAACCGGTCTGCCACTCATGGACAACGTGTGATTCTTAGCAAGAGAGATAATATCAGTGCTTTGTCTAGCATTTTTGTGATCAAAAGAATCCATAGATGACCGACCATCTGGTGTTGCGTTGCCTAGGCTTCCTTCCAGGATCTTCAAGCTCTAAGAAAGGGCTGGATGCTTTTGAAGTCCAAGACGAACCGATTCTTAATGTCACAACAAGGTATATGGACCGACTTCCAAGTGTTTCTAAGAATTCAGGTAAACCTGAATCATAAGTATTTAGGTAATACCATCATTCTTAGACTGGTGGTGCATAGGCACTTGCATTCTGTGGAGCCTTCTTTGGATGTTATTCTATGCACACAGATGAAAGTAGTATCCTTTCTGATATCGGAAAGGATGCCCAAAATTTTACTGTCTTGCTGTTTATGGAGATTTTAATCTATATAGCTGATGTTGCAAAGATTCAGTTTGGTTTATATGGATGTCTGTAATCTTTGAGTTTTTATAATATCCTTTCCGATGTCAGAAAGGATGCCCAAGATTTTACTGTTTTGCTGTTTATGGAGATTTAAATCTATATGAATGATGTTGAAAAGATTCAGTTTGGTTTATACTGATGGCTATAAGTTTTGTGAGTTTTTATTAATGAAATACAAAGTATCTTCGCAAAAGTGTTTTTGAACACTTAACAGAAAAGAGAAAAATATGCCAAAAAAACAGAAATGAAGGATGCTCTGTGAGAAAAAAAAACAAAAATAAGAGAATTCTTTAAGGAAATTCTCTGCTATACTGCTGCTAATTGGTTATTTATTTTACATTTACCCCCCTCTCTCTCT